CATGACATTAGTATTTCCATAAAATACACTATTTACTAACAATGTTTTGACAACAAATGATAATTCATCAGAAGACAAGAAAACAATTAGATTAGAAACTGTCTATTACATCTATTTATCCTACCTAAGTCACTAGTCTTCTTTACAAAAAGAAGCACAGAACAGGGTTACAAAGGGCTAATTACATTTAGTGGTCTTCTAAAACATCAGTCTTTCTGTCTTTCTCATCCCACTTCAAAATGTGCTTGGGATTGATCAGGCTATTTTTACTATTTACAGATCTATTTAGACATCAAGTGGTAAGATTCCAGACATGCCTATGGCTGTAAGTCTAGGACTCACAGAGAACATCAGTCAATGAAAGCTATTTTTGTCCAATATCTGATCACAGAGAATTATCAGCTAATCAGGACTGTTTTCTTTTAATTTCAAACTTGTCAATAACTAAGTCCTCATCCTACTCATAACCCCCAGGTTCCTCTGCATCTGTGCCTAAACAAACAATTGATCGCTGTTACAGGAAAAATAGAAAAATGCTAGCATTCCTCTTCTTTTATATATATGCCTGTACACATATCTATGAACATCTGTCCACTTGTACACAACAACATCCCACAGGCAGTTTGAGAGCAGGTGTGTGAAAGCTGGTTGATCATTTAAAAATATGCAAATTGTACTGAAAATCTTCATTACTTATCGTTATTTGTTACATTTATAACTCATCTTTCCTCTAGGAGCTCAAGTTGATGTATGTATCATTTCTCCTCTAATTTTCCCCCACAATAGCATGGGGAATTTTGGCTAAGAGCTAACCCAAAGTCATTCAGTGAGTTTCTATTGGTGAGGGTGGACTTGTACTTAGGGCCCCCCTAGTCCTAGTCTGAGGGTTTTTTCCTCCCCAAACTCCTGCAATTTCTTTTTTTAAATATGATGTTTGGGAAGGATGATCAGTTTTACAGGCAGTGAGAGATGGGTTTCATTGGGATATTGTGTGAGTTAGACAGTTGGATGTGAATTGCTTGAAGAGACTCTACATATTGGGAATGAGGAACAAAGCAAGGAGAGATGATTGTGAAACAGTTAAATGTGTGTGATGCCTAGTATGTGAAGGGTTTTATTTGCTGTATGTGACTTGAGTGTCCTCCTTGTAATGAGTTGTAGGAATAACTGGGAGGAACAGGAAGAAGAGCTGCAATCAAGACAACAGTCAGATAAAAGAAATGTGAGTCCAAAACAGAAATGTAATTTGAGAAAATGTGTCAGACTTTACCCTCCCTAGTTCTCTTTAGGTTAAAGGCAGGGAGGGGAGAGACACATTCAGATTTGCAAGATTCTGTTACTGTAACCCTATAATAAAAGCATTAATAACTTTGGTTTTCCAGTCTTGTCTACCTTGACGGACTGACACTCCTAGACCAGCAGCTACTCCTTGATAGGCGGGTAGGGGCCGTGATCAGGTAGAGGCCATGACCAAACCTTTGCCCAGCTTTAGCAAGTGTACCAGTTGTGGTCCCCCTCTGGAACACAAGGATCTTGCAATTGTAACTCCTATCTCATCACCATTTACTTAGACCCCGGCAATGTACTCTATATGGGGCTACCTTTGAGGACCACCTCAAAACACTACTTATTTTAAATGTATTATTGTTTATTGTTATTAATCACTGGGAGTCTTTTTAAAGTTCATCAATATATAAATGCAGTAAATAAATAAATGAATGCTGGTATACAAGCAATTCAGCATTTGGACCCCTTTCTTGCACCATGCCACCATGTCAGTATCATGGCAGCCAAGTAGCTGGAAGGTGATGAGAGCAAAAATCCCTATCTATGAAAGCAAAACCCCTTTGAAATATAAGGCAGCGATATATAGTTTTTTTCTGGAGCAGCATCTGCAGTCCTGAAAAGGCATTTCCCAGTTCAGGAGGGTGGTAGCATTGGTGTGAGAATATATTGCAACTGAACATCAGGGGAGGAAAGGTCAAGCCAACCCAGTGCCAGGACTCTACCACTGGCTGTCTCTTATTGTTGCCACTAGCTGGCTGGGGAATTCTGGGAGCTGAAGTCCACACATCTTGAAGTTGCCAAGTTTGAAAAACACAGATATAGATCTTTCAGCACTGGCCAAAATTCTCAGTAACAGTTACCTGTTAGCAGCCTCACTGCCTCATTTGCACCAATTGAAAATTCTGGGCAATCTTTAAATGTGGCCCCATTTATTTATTTAAAACATTTGTATAGTCACTCATCTTAAACCAGACTCTAGGTGGCTTGCAATCAAAACTAAAACCACATATACATAATAAAAACCAAAAACAATAAACCCAATAACAACAACAACAAAAAAAAACAGAAAAACCTGGCACCCCAGCTATCATTCTTTGATGCAACCCACACATTTTCTCTAACCTCACCCCATGTAGAATGAGTTGCAGCAGTCAGGTTGCAACAATGAACAGCAATCACCCAAGTTTAGAACTGCCCTACATTTGCATGAATGGCACAATACTGATACACATTTTTTGATCATTGGAAAATGAGTTTTCTATTGCTTTGAAATATAAATCATGGTTATGCTTAGATCAGAGTATATGAAGACAGAAACTAATTTGGTAACAAAAGCATAATTAACTCTAAACAATATGAATCAAGATACTCAGATTTATTTTCATTCAAGTCTGGCATCCATTTCCCCCCAAAGATTTATGAGGCTTTCTTTTAAGTCTGATGTCACTGAGCGTTTTATAGCCCCCAAGCACTAGGAAATCTTTGCCTTGCTTCAGTAGTCTTCTAACATCTAAAGAAGGGATCTTATTCATTCATTTTAAGGCAGCTTAGAGAGAAAATGTATTCATATTTATTTTTAAGCACTCTTCTGACTACAATGCTACTTATAGCTGGGGTTGTGACAAATACAGATAATCACCTCCATACCTCCATTATGCATTGAGAATGCCTTCTCAGTGGATTTCCTAGATTTCCGAGTACACATTCCACTGGGTATATGATAAATATGTTCCTTAACAGCATAATACTAAATATAACCAGGCATACAGAAAGGAGAGAGACAGATTAGCTAGGCAAGAATAATAAACAGCCATGTTCTAGGGGAGAAAAAACAGTTTCTGAAAGGAGAAATTGTTCAGAACCATAGAACTGGAAGAGGTGTTTAGTCTATCAAGTCCAACTCCCTGCTCAATGCACAACTCCAAGATAAGACATCTCTGACAGATGACTATCCAACCTGTTTGAATATACCAGTGAAGGAGAGCTCACACCCCTTTGGGTAACTGAATCCTCCGTTGAACTTATTTTATTGTTAGAAAAAATTCTAATGTTCATTCAGAATCTACCATTCTGTGACTTAAATCCAGTATTCCACATCCTGCCCTTTAGAACAATAGAAAACAGATCTTGACCTACTTCTGCGTAACAACCATCCAATATTTGAAAAATGCTATTGTATTTTCCACTCAGCCTTCTCAAGGCTAAGCATTCCCAATTCCTTTAATCTGTCATGGTAGTGCTGAACTTCTAGTTCCCTGATCATACTTATTCTTCTTCTCAGAAGCTATTTTTATTTGTCTGAAACTTGCTTAAAATGTAGAGCCTAGATCTGGATGAGGTGCTTAAGGTGGGCACTTTGCTATATTGCTTGTTCCTGCAATGTTAATTGTTGAGGACTTCAGAAACCTTGAAAGTTACTCTGTCTCATCTCTGATCCTTGCCTCTTACAGACAGCAAACTTTAACTTTGATGGGTCTAGCCTGCACAGGTTTCTTTCTGTTCTTTGTAGAAATAAGTCCCTGATGAGCAAGACTGTTTTTTTCTGCGATACAGCTGCATCCTCTCTGCCCTTCAGGATTCACTCTCCTATTCTGTGTACCACAATGACCCTTTTTCTTCCCATAAAGTCTCGGATCCTATTTCTTCTGCACTGGCCTGAAAGCTTCCCCTCCCCCCCGCCCCCCCTACATTTCTTTCTTCCAGTGGTCATTCTTATCCTGCTAGGCTTAGTAAATCCTTTAAAAACCAGTTTCAGCATGTTTGAGTCTAAAATTTAAGGTTTCATTTTCTATCTGAGTCTTCTCTTTCATACTTCATCTCTTTGTCTCCATGCCAACTATAATACCAATCATACTTTAGTGAGATGCTGATTAATATACTAAAACATCTTTCCCAACCTGGTATTCTCTTCGATCATTGGATTACATTACCTATAATTTCTAGCCAGTATGTGTATGCCAAATGGAATTATTGGTGTTGTAATACAACACCTCATGAGGATGTCAGATGAGGGAGACTACATTAAAGTATCCCAAGTGAAAGAAATCCTGGAATATGTAGTTGCCAGTATTGTTAACCTGTTTTTTCTATGCAGGTACCAACTGAGCAAGTTCCATTCCAGGGCTCTTTGCTGACCTGAGCGCTCATAGGAGGTAGAGAAGAATGTAAAGTATGATTCATAATACACTCAGACATTGTGAGATGGACAACATTTACATTCTGAGTTAATTAAATGCAAAATGTAACAATACAGTGGTACCTCGGTTCACAAACGCTTCTGTTCACGAACAATTCGGTTCACGAACAGCTCCG